AAGTTTTAATTAGAGTGCAATTATAATAATTATATTATAGATATTTTTATTACTACTGTATTGAGCTTATTAAGAGGAAAATATCAAGGATTATACTTTATTGTGATAATTATTATAGCATAGTAGAGTAAATTATTTAAAAATTATTTTAATATAATCTATTCATTTAATCTATAAAATTTAATTAATTTTAAAATGCTATTTATAAAATTACATAATCAAAGCAATTTTAATAAAGATATAATTGTACTTGATGATGGTAGAAATTAATACAGTTACTATCGAGTGGTGAATTTATTGTACACCTATTAAAGCGTGTTTATTATAATATAATTGTTAAAATGCTTATATTGTAAGTTATAAAGTTTATAGTGTAATATGATATAAGCACAAAAGGTTAGCAATAATGTGGTTAATCTCTCGCATACTTCTAAACCATGCTTATCGCTTTTTTAGATTATCAATAATACAGTAACTATGATTTTCATTGACCCAACTTCAAAGTGAATTAACAAGCACACATCAAACTAATCTCTTTTTACTGAAATGTTTACTCAATTTAAACGTTAATAACATGACTTTAGGGCCCAAATCCACACCTATTATAATGGATAGTATGGCTACACAATCGAGTAAAAACTGTTGGTACCGGTAGGACGGGTACACTGAGGTACGGCCCTCAACACCAACTGTACGCACTGCTAGGCGCACGTAGTCTCGAGCACCGGGTATATATGATTTTCGGTGGAGTTCCTGAGGAATCATTTTAGTAGAGACCACATTAGGCAACACACACTGTACGATAATACCCCGATCATTGTACTTTGTGGCTAACGCACGGCTAAAGTAATCCATGTATGCTTTGGTGGCCGAGTATTGGCTCATTAATGGCATGAGAGTAATAGCCGCCACCGACGATACGTTGATTATGACTCCCTGTCCATTGAATACCATTGCTGGCAATACTAGTGCCGTGAGTCGAGTGCACGACATTATGTTAACGTTAATCATATCCGTACAGAATTGGTCTAAATTAGGTATATCCCCGAAACAGGTGGGCTTACCATCCGGGTAAGCGATACCAACGTTGTTGACCACAACATGGATGTCTGGGTCCAACTCCCGGAGTGTTTCCTCGCATTGTGTGTATAAAAGCGGCGCCAAAAGGGTTGACAGTCGTTGTATTAAATTAACGATGGGTTAGAATTGAGCTAGATTAAAACAAAATTTTTTGCA